ACTGATTGTTCTTGCAGAAGACCCAGGTTTGAATCCCAGCACCCACATGGAAGCTAACAACTGTCCATAACTCCAGTCCCAGCAGATCTGACACCTCCGCAAGCATTGCATGGCATGGGTGCACTTACCTACACACAGGCAATACATGCATACACATAAAATAAAAATAATAAAATTTAAAAAAAAAAAAGGCTCCCTTGGCTGCTGGGAGGCTTGAAACCATTATACCCACCCTCCAACCCCTGCAAACACCAGCTGCAGTAAAGTTACAGTGTGTAACTGAACCCCAGTTGCTTCCTGCATGCTGAGGGACTCTGACCTTGCTCATCCTCTCCTTTTGCTGACCAGGGCTGACAGCCCATGTTTGTGTTCTGTTCTAGCAACCCACCGAATACTTTGACATGGGAATTTTCCTGGCTTTCTTCGTTGTGGTCTCCTTGGTCTGCCTCATCCTTCTTGTCAAAATCAAACTGAAACAGCGGCGTAGTCAGGTAACATTCTCTACGAACAGCCTGTACACCACACTGCCCTTTTGCTAATGAAAGTCAGGAATCTATCTGGCTGCTATTGGTGGCTCTGAGCCACCAACTTGTCTCAGTGGCCTAGGAATGCCAGTCTTCAAACACTAAGCCCTCATGTTTGAAGAGCAGACCTGAAAAGGCCTCCACGGCATTGGGGGTGTTCTAGGCTAGTGTTTTGAAAGAAATGTTTAAATAAATGTTGCCATGGAGCCCTAGAGCTTTGCTCCTTAAGTAGATCTGTGCTTGGTAGAAATGCAGGCCCCACCTCAGTCTCTTGATCAGATCTACCACTGACAGGCCCAGCTGGTGATTCTTGATAAACTGGAGCCAGGGGTACTCTAGTCAGCACTTCACTGTGTGCTTTCAACAAAGAAAGACCTGCAGGCCCTGTAGTGAGAGGGCAGGCAGGACTAAACTCTCAGATCTGTGGTAGTGTGACACCTTTGGAGAAAGGGCTGCTTTGGACAATAGTGGTCAAAAGGAAAATGGCTTCAGTTGTCAGAAGGGTTGAGGGGTCACAACCAACAAGAACAGGAACTAATATTTATGGACTCATGCCTTGAGTCAGGTGCCAAACACTCAAACTATTTCCCCAGCTTCCATCAACAAGGAGGAGGGATACTTAACATAGAGGCAGGCTAAAAACTAGGGTCTCAGGGCCAGGAAAGTGCCTCTCACCTTGAAGGTGAAACTTTGTAGTACTGCCACCAGGGGAAAGCCTGGGCTAAAGTCATGAACACTCTGAGGATTTAGAAAATACATACTGTGGCAGTGTGAGTTTTGAGCAGTTTCTGAAAAACGTTTGATTCACCTGATAGACAACAGTATTGCCTGTCCCTAGACTGATTAAGACTGAGTGTCTTGACTCTGGATGTGACTACCACTCTTAATACATACCAACACTAACCATGTTCTGCTATGCAGAATTCTATGAATAGACTGGCTGTGCAAGCTTTGGAGAAGATGGAAACCAGAAAGTTCAACTCCAAAAGCAAGGGGCGCCGAGAAGGGAGCTGTGGGGCCCTGGATACACTCAGCAGCAGTTCCACGTCCGACTGTGCTATCTGCCTGGAGAAGTACATCGATGGAGAGGTAGTAGCAGAAATAGGGCCTGTCTTGAGTTGGGAGGAAGTGAACAGATACTTAAGGACAACCTGGACCAGAGTTCCCCACAGCCTTACTTCAATACCCAGACTTTAGAGGTTTTTTTTCCTGGGGGTGGGGAAGACACAACACTTTCCACGTGATCTAGCTAAGTGACCATAAGTGAGTCTAGGTGACTTTAGAAGTTGATCAAACACATGGTAGAGCTGGGCATGGTGGTGTACGCCTTTAATCCCAGCACTCTGGGGGCAGCAGCAGTCAGATCTCTGTAAGATCAAGGCCAGCCTGGTCTATGTAGTGAGTTTCAGGCCAGCTGTGGCTATAGGGAGACCCTGTCTCAAAAACAAACAAACATGTGGTGGATCAGGTATGGTAGTACATGCCTGTAATTCTAGCACTTGGGAAGCTAAGGCAGAAGAATCATGAATTTAAGATCCTGTCTCAAAGAGGACAGAAAACAGTAGATTTAAGAACATTTATCTACACTGAATTTGCTTTGGAATCACTTTTATGAAAACTCTCCAATACTTGCAAAGAGTCGAGAGGTTTGATATCTCTTGTTTTTCCTTATAGCTCCTTATCAGAAAAGTTGCAAGAAAAGTACCATGAACAGCATAGATTATTCACCTAGAATCATCCATCTTCATTTTGCCACCTTTTCTGTCTCTGGATGAATAGATACACATACAGCAGGGACCAGGCATTAGACAGCCCTTCAATGAGGGCTCTCCACTGCTGTACAGAATGCTGGATAAAAATGGATTTGCAAACAGAAGCCTTTGGAATAATATTCTTTTTTTTTTTTTTTTTTTTTTTTTTTTTTTTTTTTTTTGGTCTTTTTGAGACAGGGTTTCCCTGTAGCCCCAGCTGTCCTGGAACTCACTATGTAGACCAGGCTGGCCTTGAACTCGCAGAGGTCCACCTGCCTCTGCCTCCTGAGTGCTGGGATTAAAGGCGTGCACCACCACACCCGGCTGGAATAATATTCTTGCTTGGACTCTGGGTGCAAACTGCCTGGGTTTCTAACCCAGCCTGGGCAGATTCTTGCTTTGTGAACTTGGGCAGGTTACTTCATCCTATGTTACACATGTGATACTAAGCAGCATACCAAATGCTCACCAAGATTACTTAGCTGAGAAAATATAGGTAGACCACTTGGCACTCTATGAGGCACCATTAATTATGAGACATTAATTTGAACATTACTGTGTCAGACGGGTCAGAAAATAAAAGTAAAGCAAAATGAGCAGGTTTGGATGATGCTTTGGCTCAGGAACTCCTAAGGTGGTTTTACCTCTGAAACTCCCATCACATTTTCTCTAAATAGGCTGCTTTTCTTAGAAACTAGGTGCCCCTCGCATAAGTGTTCAGGATCCAGTACATCTTCCTTTCTACTTGACCCATTTTGGGGTATCTGGAGATAGATAGATTACTTGGAGTATTTGTACCTCTTCCTCCAGACTCCAGGCTCCCTAGCCTGAGACTTTAGTCTATATGCATGCCCTTCAGCTCCTGTAAAGGAGCTTGCTTCCCTATATTCCTGGTCCCTTAATAATGAGGTCTGTGGTTGGGGCAGATGAATGACCAGTTTCCTTCACGCTAGAACCTACCCATAGACCCTGCTTCAAGGAATGATGCTTGACCTTTAACTGGAAGTAGGAAGGAGAGTGGGAAATGCATTGGCTTTCCATTTATTACAGGTAATAAATGCTTACAATAATCAACTTACAAAGAGCAAAGATTTGTTCTGGATCATATTTTGGAGATTTTAGCCTATGATCACTTGGCCCCATTGCTTTGGACCTATGGGGAGGCAGCATATCATGACAAGAACATGTAGTGGATAGGGTTAGAGAGATGGCTCAGCAATTAGAAGCATATACTGCTCTTTCAGAGGACCTGAGTTTGATTCCCAGTACCCATGTCAGGTAGGTCACAACTGCCTGTAACTCCAGCTCCAGGGGGTACAACACCCTCTTGCGGGCCTCCTCAAGCAACTGCACTCATGTTCATATACTCCCACCCAGGCACATATGTATATACATAATAAAAATTTTTTGAAAAGCTGGGAGTGGTGGCGCATACCTTTAGTCCCAGCACTTGGGAGACAGAGGCAGGCGGATCTCTGTGAGTTCAAGGCCTATTCTGGTCTACATAGTGAGTTCAAGGCCAGCCAGGGCTGCAGGGAGACCCTGTCTCAAAAAAAACGAAAAAAAAAAATTTTTTTTTTTTAAATAAACCTTTAAAATTGCTTACCCTGCAGCCAGGAGACAAAAAAGAGGGATAAAGGCAACTAGGTCACAGTAGCGCCCCCCGCCCCCTTCTTTGTGTTAACATGGAAGGACACTTACGATCCTTACTACAGCAGGAAGGTACCAGCATGGTGAGCAAGGCTGTTCTGTCCCCAGAGGCTCCACTAGAGAAGGCACTTGTGCAAGACTGAAGGCAGAAGTGCCCTCCCTCCAATCCTTCCTTCAGGCTCTGCCCCTTCTCTCCCTTTGCAGGAACTGCGGGTCATCCCCTGTACCCATCGGTTCCACAGGAAATGTGTGGACCCATGGCTGCTGCAGCACCACACCTGCCCACACTGTCGGCACAACATCATAGGTAATTGTTACCAGTCTCAGAAGACACTGTCCCTACAAAGTACCTGGCAAGTGCATGACCCATGCTCTAGGTTGTCAGCAAGCCAAACCAACATAATGGCCTGCTGGACCTGTAGGCATGGGCCTTGGGTTTGGAAGGTTGGCTGTACAACTCTTAGAGCCTGGCATTAAGAATCCCTTTATAGAGGGCTGGAGAGATGGCCCAGTGGTTAAGAGCACTGGCTGTTCTTGTAGAGGACCCAGATTTGATTCCCACCACCCATATGGTGGCTAACAACCACCAATAACTCCAGTTCCAGGGGATTCAGTGCCCTCTTCTGACCTCCATGGGTATAGCATGACATGGGTGCATTTATATACATGAGGTAAAACACTTAATACACATAAAATTAAAATAAATAAATAAATAAATAAATAAATAAACAATCCAAATAGAATCATCTTGCACACCAGGGGATGTGGCTCAGTAGAAGACTCTGCCTAGCATGTGAAGGCCCTAATTTGATTTCTAATATTGCCTTCCCTCCCACTTCCCCTCCAAAAAAACCACCTTGCATTCGAGTTTAGGTTTACCATTAAATAATGTCCTAGCCAGATGTGGTAGTGTGCACCTGTAGGTCCAGCACTTAGGAGGTAAAGACAGGAGGATCAGGAGATCAGAGTCATCCTTGGCTACATAACATAGCAAGTTTGAGGCCAGTCTGAGTTACTTGTCTAAGGAAAATAAAATAAAATTTAAAAACAGTAACAAAACCCAGCATCTTGACTTGGCCTCTTCTAGGCCTAAAGCATCTGGTCTCTAACAACAGTAACATTGATGCCCAGGCCCAGACACGGGATTTTCCCCAGGACACAAGGGACAGTGAGTATGTGGTGGCAGTATGTATGTTGCTGTTCTGGTCACTGTTACTCTCTGTATCTGTGTTGCTCTCTGTAGACTCTATGTCAGGAGATGGGAGATTGGGCCAGTCAGCTTAGCTTGGAGGCAGCTTACAGTGCGTGGCAGGGTGGCAAGCTTAGGCTCCCTGCACGTTAGTGACACTTAACTGCTTCAGTCTCTGCCTCATTATATTGTTTCTTCCCTCTTCCCAGAACAAAACACCATGTGTTTGGAGACCAGCAACCTTGCACGTGGTCGGCAGCAGAGAGTGACCCTGCCAGTACATTACCCAGGCCGTGTGCACAGGACCAATGCCATCCCAGCCTTCCCTACCAGGACAAGCATGGATTCCCATGGGAATCCCGTCACATTGCTGACCATGGACCGTCATGGGGAGCAGAACCTCTATTCTCCACAGACCCCTACCTATATCCGCGGCTACCCACCCCTGCACCTAGACCACACTCTGGCCTCTCACCGCTGCGGCCTAGAGCACCGGTCCTACTCTCCAGCCCATCCCTTCCGCAAGCCCAAGTTCAGCAGCCGCAGCTTCTCCAAGGCAGCTTGCTTTTCCCAGTATGAGACCATGTACCAACACTATTACTTCCAGGGTCTCAGCTACCCAGAACAGGACGGCCAACCAGTGCCCAGTCTCATGCCCAGGGGCCCATCCCGTGCCTTCCCACCAAGCAGTGGCAGCAGCCTGCTCTTCCCCACCATGGTGCACATGGCCCCACCCTCCCACCTGGAGAGCGGCAGCACATCCAGCTTCAGTTGCTACCATGGGCATCGTTCTGTGTGCAGTGGTTACCTGGCTGACTGCCCTGGCAGTGACAGCAGCAGCAACAGCTCTGGCCAGTGTCGGTGCTCCTCCAGTGACTCTGTGGTAGACTGCACAGAAGTCAGCAACCAGGGAGTATACGGAAGCTGCTCTACCTTCCGAAGCTCCCTCAGCAGCGACTATGACCCCTTCATCTACCGCAGCCGGAGCCCCTGTCACAGTAGCGAGGCAGGGAGCTCAGGCAGGGGGCCCACTGTACACCTTGAGGGCTCCCCCTCACCAGAGGAGCTCCCAGCAGCACACAGTCAAAGTGCTGGGCGGGCAGAGCCGTGGCTAGGCCCTGCCTCTCCCTCAGGAGACCAGCTATCCACCTGCAGTCTGGAGATGAACTACAGCAGCAACTCCTCACTGGAACACAGAGGACCCAATAGCTCTACCTCAGAAGTGGGGCTTGAGGTTTCTCCTGGGGCTGCCCTGGACCTCAGGAGGACCTGGAAAGGGGGCTCAGAGGGACCGTCTTGTGCCTGCTGCTACGAGCCCCAGCCCTCCATACTGGGGCCTGAGGCAGGAGCAGTGGGGGGTGGCAGCACCTTATTCCTGTGTCCCCCACTCCTTGAGGGCTGCAGCCCTACAAGTGGGGAACCACAACCAGGGGGCTCCCAGGGCCTATATGGCCTTCACTCAGACCATTTGCCCAGGACAGATGGGGTGAAATATGAGGGCCTGCCCTGCTGCTTCTATGAAGAGAAACAGGTGGCCCACGGTGGTGGCGGGGGCAGTGGCTGCTACACTGAGGACTATTCAGTGAGTGTGCAGTACACACTCGCTGAGGAGCCCCCACCCAGCTGCTATGCAGGGGCCCAGGACCTGAGCCAGCGCATCCCCATTATTCCGGAGGATGTAGACTGTGACTTGGGCTTGCCCCCAGACTGCCAAGGGATGCACAGCCACAGCCCCTGGGGTGGGACACTGGGCCTGGATGTCCCAAGGCTCCACTGGGATCTGAGGACAACCCAAGAAGAGGAACAGCTTCCATGCTACCAAGCTGAGGTGCCACTGCAGCCTGGCTGCCCTTTAGAAGAGACGGGTCCTGCCAGGCCTAGCCTTCCCAGTGCTCCCCAGGACACTCAGAAGCCCCACACCCTGGCCGCTGAGGCTTCAGGTGAGAACACATGGTAGTAGGTGTTTCTAGGAGGGTCTTCTCAGGCCTTTCTGTATAACTTCTGTGCCCTTGGCTATACTATTTCTGATGACTTTCGAGTTTGCTTTTGAACCCTACCCTTCTCAGCTCCAGACCCACTGAACCCTCTTTTTACAACGTTAGCATCTCTTTCCCCAGACACTTCACAAGCACTCCACCCCAAAGAATACTTCAACTACATCAACTCCTCTGCATCTGCCATGGTCTCTTCAGGGCACCCCGTGCTTCTCACAGGGCAAAGACCTGACAGATCTGTTGTGGGTCTTGCCTGCTATTCCACTTGGGAGGCAGAGTGGCCTTTTTTTTTGAAACATTTAAGTAGAAATGTCTTTATGCTATAAACCCTTTACTGACTTGCCATTACCTTTCTAAGATCCATTAAAAACAGAGCTACCCACTCTTTTGATCTGGTTTCTATCTTGTCCCTCAGCATGCCAGGCTTATTCCAGTCTCCAGGCCTCTCCTCTCCTCCAAACATCAGCCGAGCGTCCCTCCTTACCCCATCAATATCACTCTCCCCAACCTCTGCCATTTTGTAAGTCACCCCAAGCCAGGTTTACTTGATGGGGAGTTGTATATGATCTGTTCAGGGTCTTCCTACTCTTTTCAGTGCCTGCAGCTGTACACAGAGCATTCGTTTAACTTTTTTTTTTTTTTGAGACAGGGTCTCCCTGTAGCCCCAGCTGACCTGGAACTCGCTATGTAGACCAGGCTGGCCTTGAACTCACAGAGATCCGCCTGCCTCTGCCTCCCAAGTGCTGGGATTAAATGTGTGCGCCACCACGCCCAGCTATATCATTTTTATACATTGTGCATCCATGACATCTTAAATCTTTCTGAAGGCTCTATATAGCCAAAGGAGGGAGACCTACCTCCAGGATTCACAGCTCTCTGCATGTAGGCTTGAACTGCTTATTAATGTCCATAGTCCATTCACCATTATGAGCTGTCACTTCCAGGAGCCCTTCACACACAGGACAAGGTTATTCAAATCCCTTTCCTGGTGCATGCGGCCCAAAACCTGCAATGCCAGCTTCCCTCCCCCCCCCCCCCCCATGACTGTTCTCCCTCTCTCTCCCAGGAACAGGATCTGGCCCAGGCAGCGGTACAAAAGCTTGAGCTCGGAAGAAACTCTTATCTGGAAATCGGGAACTATACAAGACTCCTAACTCTGACTTCCTTCAAAACAAGAGAAGAAAAAAAAATTTTTTTAGCTTTGACAAACACACAAAAGTGGTAATAAAGAGAGCCCTCCTCAACCCAAAATGTGAGCCACCTGTGGCACCCCCTCCCCATTAACAAACCCAACAGACAAAATCTCTTGAGTCCTTTGCCTCCTTTAATAAGGTGTTATCCTGTTTTGTAATGTGTGTGCTTGGGGTTCTGAGGTGTGTGGGGTTGAGTTCTCTGTTTTGTTTTTTTAAGATATTATATGTAAATGTAAAAAGTTATTTAAATATATATATTTTAAAGAACCCTAACCACCAACTTTTGCTGAAAAAGAAAAAAAAAATCACTGCTGCGTTAAATGAACCACATCATGTGTCGATACTGTTGTCTCCCTGGAGGGACCTCAGGCCTTTGAAAAGCTCAGGGCTACACCTGCCTTAGAAAATGAACCAGAAACTTGAAGTAAAAGCTAGTTGATATGGGTACAAACTCTGAGGAACAATGCAAAGCTGCCTCTGCCTTTCTTGTGGCAAATCTGGACTTCACGGCTTCTGGGAAGCCACACCTCTCCTGCCCACACCTGTAGGCAGGTGCCAGGAACTGCTAGGAACAGGCCAGGAACATGGGGAAGGGGTGTCAAGCCATTGTCACCTAGGCCCCAGGTTGATGGGGACAGTTCCCGCCCAGTATATTCTGTTCCTTTGGGTCAACATCCCAAGTAAAAGCAGAGTTCATGGTCCTCTTCCTGAAGAAGCCAGAGGTAACATGGGCTTGTGTTACTGGAATCCTGAACCTGAAGTCTGACCCCTGCAGGGAAGAGGAAGCTTTCCCCTTGTGGTGGTCCCAACTTGGAGCTTCCTGCCACTGACTGCAGAGGTGGTTGGGTAGGGTATACAGGATAGACACCCAGGAGGAATGTCATTTTGTGGCCTTGGTGTAGGGCTTCTGTAGGGCTGGAGGGGAGTGCTCTCTACTCTCAGCAATGCACTACCCACTAAAGAAGGGAGAGAGGCATGCTGGGGCACACCTGTGTACATGTGTCTGGAGGGGCAGCCACCCCCCTCAGCTGCTGCTTCCTTGAGCTGCCTTCCCAGGGGCACATGCTTGACTCATGGGTGTGTGCATTGAGCTCCTTTTGAACCAACTGTTTCCCATCCTGTTTCCCCAGGAAGCACAGTTTCTGGGCCATTAAGCCCTCTGCCTGGTGGCTGAAGTCATTCATCTCACCTGCAAATGTCTACTAGCCTGTCTACCTGATGCACTATTATGTACTGATTCGCCAGAAGACAGACTATCAGATAGTTTAGACCCAAAGGGTAGGATTTTGTATATTTTTCCAGCCTCCTCTTTTTTAAGAGGAAAGGAGAGTTTTTTAAAACAAACCATTTTTGGGGTTTTTTGTTTTCTTTTGTTTTAAAGATGTTTTTAAAAGGGAGAGAGAATCTATTTAAAACTACTTCAGGGATTGTCATCCTTTTTGTCCAGTAGTCCTTGTTCTTAAAAATATTTTCTTTTCTGGGGCTGGAAAGATGGCTCAGCAGTTAAAGAGCACTGGCTGCTCTTGCAGAGGATCCGGGTTTGATTCCCAGCACCCACATGGTGGCTAAAAACCATCCATAACTCCACTTCTGGGGGACTCTGATGCCCTCTTCTGACCTCCATGGATATTGCATGACACAGGTGCACTTGCATACATGCAGGCAATACACTCACACACATAAAAATAATAAAATAGTTTTTTAAAATTTCCTTAGCAAAAACAAATTAGGTTGGCCCTATGTTCACTATCTCTTCTGGTCACTTTTATTCATTTACTTAGTGGGATGTCTGTTGCCATTGAAAAGAATTTGGCCCAGTGGGTCAAAAGCTTATTTACAGAACAGGATCCTTGGGACCTGGCTTACTGTGGGTGGGGAAATAGGGACCACCCTGGGTTACCAGGAGACTGAAATGACCCTTCTTCCTCTCAGGAGCTCAGCCCAGGGGGGCAGACTGGACATTTTGAGTAAAACTATTAGAATACTTTATTTTTTTAAAACCCCAGCCTATGGTGAGGAAATTTACTTATTTCTAGCCAAGATCTGACAGAAAGCCCTGCATCAAATGATCTGGCCATTTGCCACTTAGGAAGACCCTGTGGTGAGATTTGTTCTCCCACCCCTGGGGTTCCTTCCCTTAGGGGGCTCCTCTCCAAGACTCTGCCCAGCACACCTGTTGGTGAGGGTGTAAGAAGGGTCTGAACTGTTGACCTGTGGTCTGTGATCTGGCTGCCTTTATTTCTGGGGCCAGGAGCAGCAGCTGCTTAGGACAACAGCTAGCCTTAGTGGAAGGGGGAGCCATGGCTTTTAATGTGAACTGCAAAGTTCAGCTTCTCATTATTGAGATGTTTGTTGTTTCTGGTTTTGCTTTTTTGTTTTTTAATGCCTGTGAGTGCATATTATCTTCCTTGTCTGAAACCAGATCCTCAAAGTGGCTTTCTTTTGCCCTGGCTAGAAAAACCACTTCTCAATAGCCTTAAGCAATAAAAAGATGAGTTGAATAGATGATTTGAATACCACTGGACTAAGTAAAATAAATTAGTTCAATTTTCATTTGAAAGAGTCATAGCTTCAGATGAAAAAGAAGCACATTTATTATAGTTTACGGGGAGTAGAAACAAGGAAAATTTAGAATCTCATGTCTTTTTGGGTTGCTTCATCAGGGAGGTCACCAGAGTATAATGAACTACCTTGTGTCATTTAAATAAAAAGAAGTGCTTCTTTTCTCTCTTTTTGTTTTTAAGACAGTATTTCACTGTGTAGCCCCCAGCTGACCTGGAACTCACTGTAGACCAGGCTGGCCTCAGATTCAGAGATCTGTTTGTCTCTGCCTCTCAATGCTGGGATTAAAAGTATGTACTACCACACCAAGCAGAAATACTTATTTTGAAGTTCTAAGACTCCAGTACTGGTGACAGATACTTTTTTGTGTGTGGTGGAATCTCGCTGTGTGTTAATTGTATAATCACGGAAAAGGAACATCCCCACTTGCCACTGGGAACCAACATGCCTAATTCAGGGTGTGTGATAGCAGGGTGTGATCTTGTGACCCAGCCCAGGGTGTAACAGCCTTGTCAACTGGAGAATTCTAGAAAATGGAAGTTGGGTGTTCTGACCAATGAGGTACTTCGGTGGTTACAGCCCTAGTAAGTGGCGCTAACTCCTAACCCCTTTCCCTCTCTCCAGGCCCAGGCCATTTTATTAGGATCTGACCTCTGTCCCACGACTCAGACCCTTCCCTCTGTGCTTCTGGTCTCAAAGTTCACACAGAACTAATGCTTTTAAAATGTGGTCTAAAGAATTATTAATCGAGAATATTGTCTTTTAAACAACTGCCTTTTTCTATCCCTTATATAAATTCTTTGTGTTGGTCTAACAAGACACTATTTTAAAGTGTTTTTTTTTTTAATTTCTCCTGTAGCACTTAAAAATATTTTGTATAGACTTTGCTGTAAAGATTTTTGTAATAAAATGGTCTAAGGGCTCTTCCAACATTACCATTTTTTTAAAATGTTTTAAAAGCTAGAAAACAACTATGTATATTCTGTATATGTATAGTGGCACATTTCATTTATGGAAATATGTTCTCAGAATATTTATTTACTAATATATTTATCTTAAGCCATGTCTTATGTTGAGAGTGTGACGTTGTTGAAATAATCATTGAAAATGACTAACACAAGACCCTGTAAATATATGATAATTGCACACAGATTTTACATATTTGCAGACCAAAAAATGATTTAAAGCAAGTTGTAGTCTTCTATGGTTTTGTAACAAATTGTACAAATGACTGTAAAAAAAAAAATACAATTTTATCAAGTATGTGCTATATGTGGTCATTGCTGTGGCTGGTTAGGGTCTTCAGATTCTGCTAAGATGTTTACATGGCTATCTGGTCCATGGAATTGTATCTGTAACTTCCTCTCTGTTATCAGAGTCCAAGTTGGGGGGGGGGTCGGTAATTTTTGCAGCATCAAGGGAGACTGAGTTTATGTCCTTGAGGTAGTAGTAGTAGGTTTTCTGAACAGTTCCTATGAGAGGATCCTACCTATTGGGGGGCCAACCATCAAGGCCTGCTTGGACCACAGAGTGCATTCAGGGTAGCCCTGACAACATAATGAAACCCTGTCTTTAAAAAACGATAAAGAGGGGGCTGGAGAGATGGCTCAGCAGTTAAGAACACTGGCTATTCTTGTAGAAGACCTGGGTTCAGATACCAGCATCTATATGGCCGCTAACAACTGTCCATACTCCAGTTCCAGGGGATCTGATGCTGTCTTCTGACCTCCAATTGCACGACTCGGGTGCATTTACATACATGCAGGCAATACATACACAAAAATAAAATATAATTTTTTAAGAAAGGGTAAATTACTAGAGACACAGCTTTGTGGTAGAGCACGTGCCTTGTGAGCAAGGTTCTAGGTTCAATCCCCCTACTCAAAAGAAAAAAACTAAAAAAATCTACCTAACCATTACTAGAAAGAGGACCTCAGTCCCAAATCCTAGATTCATTTGTCCCATTTCCCAAGGAGGGTGTTCACTAATTTGTGAACTCTGAGTTTAGGTGAAATGTGCAGTTTATTTTTCAGACATGTAGCAGAGAATACTCTAATCCCATGAGCTCCTTTGGTTATTTTCCATTCTAACTTGGGGCATTTCTTAGTCACAGGCCCATTGGGGACACCCAACCATACTTTGTGCCCAGCCCAGGTCCTAAGCAGTTTCCAGGGTGGCAGCCTGACAGCACAGAGCTTTTGTTTCATGGCCTTGCCCAGCTCCAAGCTGTATCCTTTGGGGATTCCAGAAGGATTCCACAGCATGGGCTCCACCACAGCGTGGTACAAAGCCTGGTAACCTTCAGTGGAGAGGCCATGGATGATTGGTACACCCTCCAACTGCTGCCCCTTTCGGGTTTCAGGAAACACTGGCCCTTCCAGGCTGCCATCTCACTGTCCTGGGTAGCACTTGGGTGGTGGCCACATGTTCAGCATATCTGTCGTCAAGATCTTGGCTGACTGTTACTTTTTTCTCCTTTGAACCTTCTTTATTCTAGCCAAGAAGAAAGCAGAGAAGTCAACGCTAAAACTTGAGAAGGGAGCTCGGAATAATTATCTGGGATTTGTGTCTCAGAGTCTTTGCTACAGCAACAACTACCATTTGTCTAGCACATTCTAGTTAACTGAACCCCTTTACGAATGACACTGTGTGTTCCCTATAGCCCTCTAAGATCAGTAGGAGACAGATTTAAAAGTCAGGGAAATTGGAATTGGTTTGCCCAAGGCCACAAAGCTTACAAGGTTAGTAACCACAGCTGTCATCTATTGAATAATATGCAGGATCGTAATTATTTACTCTGTGCCAGACTGTTTAAAAGCCCTTTACGTGTATTAATTTATTTAATCTTTATGGAACCCTATACAAGAAGAGTCAGATTTTATATTATAAAATCAAGGCACAAAGAGGTTAAGCATGAGGGCTTACTCAATTATAGTTAGTTGGGATTTGAGCCCTGATAGCCTATCTCCAAGACTGAGATCTGCTGACCATCATGAAGTGATAGAACTGGGTTCAGATGAAGCCTCTGACTGCCAAGTTCTCTTAAGTGGGAGTTCATAGCCAGATGTATATCTTACCTTGGGGTACATGTGTGTGAACGCATAATACCTTTATTTTACCTTTGTGGTCAAGTTCCTTTTGTCTATGGATGGTGGCACCCTTATTCTTCTATAGGACTACGCAGAGGATGGACAGCAAATACTAGAAATGCAGATCTGGTGTTCTTCCTCTATTCTGGGTACCCTCCCTCCCCAGTCCTGCCATCAGCTTTAGAATTTTCTTTTGAGACAAGGTCTCACCATATAGCCCTAACTGGCTTGGAGCTTGCTCTGTAGACCAGGCTGGCCTTGAACTCATGAGATACACCTGTCTCTATCTCTCAAGTGCTGGGATTAAAGACATGTACCACTACATCCTGCCTAGGATTTCTTTACTTTGAATAAATCTGTATGGCGCCATCTCTGGCTTTACCATCCCTTCACATCACTGCTGGCCACTGGCTACCTCTCTGATGCCACCTGCAGGCCTCCTGTGCCCCAGGGACCCTGGCAGCTGCCCCAGTAGCTCCTTGCTCTTAGAGTTTCTTGTCCTGTGCCTCTGTGTGCCTTTCAGCATTGCATTGTCCTTGGACTTCAATCCCTTTGAGGGCTTTGCTTCTATGAATTTGGAAGGTGCTCGCTGGCATTTATCCTTCCGTTGCCATCTAAGCACAAGCTTGACCAGGGAGAATGAGTTGGCAACTCTTGGGTTCTTAACCACTTTCCAACAAGAGGTGGCACCTGGTGCTGGGGCCTTGACCTGCTTTGCACCAGTTCGGGCTGCCCAGATGTTGGTGAGAGCTGGTAAGATCACGTAGCAGTCCTGAAGTCTGCTGTTCAATGAGATGGATTGTCGGAGTCCATAGGTATGGATTCTGGGATCTTGTCTCACATAGATTTGGTGCTGGAAATATAAGGGGAGAAAGGAATCTGTTTAAAAGAGCTGTTGGGGAGTTGGGGAAGGAAAAAGAGTGGTTCCCAAGGAGAAACTAGAAATTCTAGAGGCTAAGAATTAACATCATTTCACACTTCATTCCTTCCGCACAAATCTTTGAAAACTTGCTGCCTGTCACAACTCTCACCTGCTCACCTAGACATTTTTTATACCAAGTAAGGAAAAAATAGGAACTTTACAAGGTCACAGTGATATTTTAGTTCTTAACACAGCATGCTGAGGCAGGAAATTGGGGTCAGGAAGAGTTTACCAGGAACCAAAGACCATTTGTCTGCTGGAAAGATAATGAACCCACAGCAGAATAGGCATGGAGAATTTTAGAACCTCTATATAAGCTTCAGGAACACTTCAACAGAAATGCCAGCAGGTGAGTCTTACCAGACCATGAATACACCTTCAACCAACCCATAAGAGCCAGGTAAAGCCACTACATGGGGAAATACACGTCAGGGTCCATAAAGACCAAAGCATACTTCCTGGGACAATCTGGGTAGATTAGAATCACATAAAGAGACCTGGCTTTCTAAGAAATGTCATCTATAGGAAAATGAAATCCAGGTTCAGTTCCCAGCACCCACATGGTGGCTTAAACAAACTGCCTGAAACTCCAGCTCCTGAGGATCCAATGTCCTTTTCTGGCCTCCATGGGTTCCTGGATGCACATACTCAAGCAGGCTCACACACAAGCACATAAATAACAAACAGATAAATAAATCTTTTAATAAAATAAAACCTCCTTACCATATTTCTGTTGCCTTAAATTTTATTTTAGCTAGCTTAGCAGAGGGAAGAAATGTGTAATTTTTTCTTCTTTCTTTTTTCCTTTCTCTGTTTGGTTTGGTTTTGCTTTTGTATTTCTAGTCACCTGTCTTTCCCTATCTCAGTCACGTATAAGGTGAATTGCTGTTCAGATTTTGGCTAGAGTGCAGGCAGTGTTGAGTCATTATCTCCACTGATGTCACTTTGTGATATCACTTTGGTTTGTGATGTGGGTGTAGGCAAGTGTGTTACATCATCAGATTTTATAGTCAAATGATGTTGGAATCAGCTCTGTTGTTCTCAGGAATTTCTGAAGTCTTCATTTCCCCAAAACACTAGGGAAAGATCCTAGTGTTCTTAAGAAGCATGCTTTGTATAAAAGAGAGTACTGTCAAATTATCAGAATAACTGCTAAGGTTAGGGCCCAGAAATGAAAGAACACATTCCTGCAACCCTGGGCATCTCTATGTCTTTCTCCTAGGACAACTACATGGTTTCTGGAATGTGGGTTTGGTTTTTTTACATCCTATGGTAAATGCAGTAATTAGAGCTGTTAGCAGTGTCAAGGACTTAAAATGAGAACAAAGATGCCTCTTCCTGGGAACTCTTGGGCAATGCCTCACACCTTATCAGGTGCTGGTCCTGTTGTTGTTTTTGAGTTTTCTTACACAAAATGCCAAAGGAGGCTCCCTCCTGAGGGAGTGGAGAGTGAAATGATGGAAAAACAGAGTATGAGTCTGGCAGGGACTCCTGGCATTGCCGTGTGTTGCCTGTTTGAAATTTCGACTTGTTGTCCCTGGAGTGAATCAAAGCCAGCAGGCAGACCACAGTGAGAGCTGCCCTGTGGTAGAACCACCTCCGGGCCCGTGGCATCTGGACCCGGAGACACTTGGGAAGACAATGAGGCCAATTCAGTAGCAAGCCCTGGCTTCACCCATCCCAAGAGGTGGGTCAATTTTAGAGCAAGCCATTGGAAAGGTTTGTCTTTAGGAAAGGTTCGCAAATATCTGAAACCAGACAAGCCAGCATCTTTTTAAAACCAGTGAATCTTGGAGAGGTGGCACCAAGCTTGTGGGTCACCTGGCATTTGCCATCTGCATTTAATTCTGCCTGGCCGGGACAAAAGGCAAGTGTCCAAAAGCCATAATTGGAATAGTTCTGTTTTTCTCCACTTCCCTATCTCCCATCTTCTATTAAACTCTCTCTCTCTCTCTCTCTCTCTCTCCTTATGTAGTGGAGCACAGGTTATGGCTTAGAATTTATGATCCTCCTGCCTCAGCCTCACAAATACTGTCATTACAGGAGTATGCTGCTAAGCCCAGCATCCTTCCCCATCTCAAGTTTGGTTTTCCTCACTTCCTCCTTCCTTCACCATCCTCTTCACCATGTTTACTTTGCTAGGTTTTTCACTCAATAGTCAAGTGACACAGCTTGGCTTCTGAGGGGCACTTTGAACCTCCTTCTGGCATACAGCAGCCATTCATTCACATGGATGCCACTTGAAACTTGTTCTTTTTTTTTTTTTTTCTGACAGGGTCTGCCAGCCTGGAACTCTCTATATAGACCAGGCTGGCCTTAAACTCACAGAGATCCTCTTACCTCTGCTTCCCAAGTGCTGGGGTTAAAGGTGTGTGTCCACACCCAGATTTCTTCATATATGTTAATAATGTTTTTGGTGGATTTTTTTTTCTTTTTGTTTTTGTCTTTTTTAGACAGGGCCTCCCTATACCTCAAGCTGGCCTGGAACTCACTATGTAGACCAGGCTGGCCTCAGTTTCACAGAGATCCACCTGCCTCTGCCTCACAAATGCTGAGATTAAAAGTGTGCCTCACCATGCCCACCCTTGATTTAATGTGTATAAGTGTTTTGCCTGCATGTATGTAAATGCACCATATGCATGCAATGCCCACAAATCCCAGAAGAGAGGGCATCAAATCCCCTAGAACTAGAGTTACAGACATTTGTTAGCTATATGGGTGCTGGGAACTAAACCCAGGTCCTCTGCAAGAGTAGCCAGTGCTCTTAACCATCTCTCCAGCCCCTTTAATAGTGGGGGGTTTTTGTTTTGTTTTGGGGTTTTTGTTTTTTTGTTTGTTTGTTTGTTTGTTTGTTTGTTTGTTTTGGTCTTTTTGAGACAGGGTCTCCCTGTAGCCCCAGCTGTCCTGGAACTCACTATGTAGACCAGGCTGGCTTTGAACTCACAGAGATCCACCTGCCTCTGCCTCCCGAGTGCTGGGATTAAAGGTGTGCACCACCACACCCAGCTTTAATAGTGTTTTTTAAGATTTATTATTTATGTGTACATGTGTGTAAGTGCCTGAGGAAGCCAAAAGAGAGTGCCAGATCCCCTGTAACCAGAGTTACAGGTGATTGTGAGCTTCCCCACATTGGTGCTGGGACTCGAGCCTTGTTCCTCTGCAAACAGTACATGCTCTTACCACTGAGCTCTGTCTCACCAGCCTGAGCTCTTCAAATTTGATTCAAATCTCTGTCTATTCAGCATGGCTCACTCAGTTGACTTCCCTAAAGATAGCCTTCATCCTTCTTTTTTCTTTTCTTTCTTTTTTTTTAGACAGGGTCTCCTTAATAGCCCCAGCTAGCCTAGAACTCTTTATGTAGACCAGGCTAGCCGTGAACTCACAGAGATCTCCCTGCCTCTAGGATTAAAGGCGTGAACCACCATGCCCAGGTGCCTTCATCCTTAAACCAGCCCTGAGTAACTTCGCTAGTGCCATTTCTCCTGCATCAATAAAATTAGTATTATTGAATACTCACTGAAGGCCAGGCACTATTCAAAGCACATTACAAGTGTCATGTAATGAAAGGCTACCCACAGTCCTATAGGTATGGGTACTGTTTCCACCCCAGTTTACAGATGAAGAAACTGAGGCACACATCGCTCAAAAACCATGTCCCAGGTCCCAAGGCTAGTAGCCAACAGAGGATAAACCTAACCAAAGTCTACATAGCCCTTGCTCTGGGCCACTCAGTTATCACAGTGACACCATGCCTCTCCTCTGAGTGGTCTCTCTACCCACCAGCCCTGAGCCCAAGTCTAGTCCTATCTTGTCCCAAGACTTTCTCTGGGCTCAGGAGTTGCTCTGCCTGAGTTGGTATCCCAAAATCCATCATTCAGGAGACAAGTGAATTCATATCCCAGAACTGTAATTTTCTCCTCTGTGAGAGCGGGATAGCAATAGTGTCTCCAAAAAGATTACCATGAGTGGGGTGTGGTGCATAGCATCTTTTGTTTTTGGAGTGGTGCAGATTTAATTGAGGAATATATCTATAGAAAGTGGACTATGACTCATCCATTAAGAGAGTTCCTACTCTTCCAGAGGATCCAAATCATTGGCTGGTTCTCAACTACCTGTAACTCCAGCTCCAGGAAGTCCAATGCCCTCTTCTGGCCTCTGTTGATACTTGCACACACATGCACATTCACACATATACACATAAATAAAAATAAACATTTTAAAAAAGAAAGTGGAGCAGGGCCTGGTGGCGCATGCCTTTAATCCCAGCACTTGGAAGGCAGATGCGGGTGGATCCCTGTGAGTTCAAGGCCAGCCTGGTCTACATAGTGAGTTCCAGGCCAGCTGGGTCTACAGGGAGACCCTGCCTCAAAAAAAAAAATAAATAAATAAATAAATAATAAAAATAGTATGGCCGGGCGTGGTGGTGCACACCTTTAATCCCAGCACTTGGGAGGCAGAGGCAGGTGGATCTTTGTGAGTTCGAGGCCAGCCTGGTTTACATGGTGAGTTCCAGGACAGCCTGGGGCTACAAGGAGACCCTGTCTCAAAAAGACCAAAAAAAAAAAAATGTTGAAGGAGAGAAGAGACTCCACAAAGTTGTCCTCCCACCTCTACATGTGTATCATCATGCACACACACCTATCAACACATGCACATGCACACACACACACACACACACACACACACTAATAATAATAATAATTTGGGGAACCAAACCTGGGTCTTCTGCAAGAACAACCAGTGCTCTTAATCACTGAGCCATTTCTCCAGCTCCTAAAGTAAACAATAGGGCCAGTGAGATGGCTCAGTGGATAAAGGCACAGCAAGTGGCAACCAAGCCTGATGACCTGAATATACATAGACATAAAAATAAAGGTAAATGTTTTTATTTGTTTATGTGTATCAGTGTTATTTGTTTATGTGTATGAGTG